TGTGTCATTATTTGGGGGCTAGCAGTCCAAAGAAAGTCTGACAAGAAAGGTCCAAAGAAAGTTCTGCAGGAAAGTCCAAATACATTCACAGGTTCTGAATCTTAGGTTCAACCAACTGCATATAGAAAATATTCTTTTAGGGCCTGGGGAGATAACTTGGTCAGTAAAACACTTACAAGCACAAGGACCTGAGTTCTGAGTTCATTCCCCAGAATCTACACAAAAATGCCAGGTATCAAAGGTCTTGCTTGTAATCTCAGTACTGGGGAAACAGAGACAAAAGGATCTCTGGTTCTTGCTGGCCAGGCAGTCTAGTTAAATCAGTGAACTCCAGGTCCAGCAAGAGAGTCTGTCTAAAAAAGGTAGATGAGAAGGACACTGTTGATCTCTGACCTCCACAGAAATGCACATGCAGACATCTGCGCACACACATGAACGTGTATGTATGAATATACCACTTAGTCAAGTGCACATCCACACTCCAGATTGCCCATGATTTGAACACCTTCAGACCTTTGTCATTTTATATGAGAGTTTTGAATATGTTTGAGTATAGAAAAGTGTCGTGGAACCAATTCCTTAGATATGGACGGATGACTGTAATTTGAAACAAAGAGCCTCCACGGTGATTATAGGGAAGGAAAAAAATCCTTTCTCCAATCAATACATGTTATGCAGAGGACTGATATTCATGAGATATCCCATGCAAAAAAGAATGATCAGTTTGGGAAATTTTGCATTCCCTTTCTTCTTTTAAGACTTTGTTTATATCTAACTTACTGTATTTGGGTTTAAATGGAATGAGAATCTTTTTTTGCCCTGCTTGATTGTGTATGGGTGTGTTCAGAGAAGCTGTGTGGCAAGACTTTTCCTGGGGAGGAGCTATCGACATGTCTACTCACCCCAGACAGGTTGCCCACAAAAGACCAAAATACAGATACCACCAAAGTCTAGCTTGGTAAACCAGTGAGTTTTATTGGGGTTACTTACAGGAATATGGGTGAGGGATTACTTACAGGAGCAGAAATGACTTGTGGGCCGCTGCATCACCAAAGCCCATCCCAGCAATGATGACAGTTCATAAAACTGGGAACATGGTGCTCACTGCGCATGTGCTCACGGCATAGCCCTCGGCAGCTCAATAGGTCGAAGAGTGTCCTTTCCCGTGTCTCAGTAAGCCTAAACCCCTTCCAGGCAGCTCCGCTGGTTTCTACGTCTTCCAGGCTGCTGGTCTGGCCTCAGTCTTCTTTGCAGGTTTGCTTCCTTGTGGCTTGGCCTCACTCACTGAAGAAGCACGCTCAGCTTTTATGGTTTACTCTGGCAGGGAGGCGTGTAGACAATCTGGTCCATTTCAGGGACTTCCTAAAGCTGTTTTGAGTTGTTGACTTCCCATTTAAGGAGCTTCCTATAAGGATGGAATGTTTCAATCCAGGAGGAAACTGTTATACAAGAGAGGCCTGAGGTTGAACTGGGGTGTTACTGTTTTGTGTTTGTTTAGTTTTGTTTCCTCCCAATCACTTCCCATTGTGTGTATTGAGGTTTGTCCTTTTGCCTAGTCTACCCAGCCAGTGGAGTGAGGTGTCTTTATCTCCACCTTCCCCGAGCTGGGATAACAGGTGGGTCAACATGTCCGTCTGGCTTTTGAATGATGTTTTTGGGGTCCAACTTCTAGTTCTCATGCTTGCCTTGCAAACACTTTTCCAGTTGAACCATCTTGCCAGCCTAAGAACTCTTTTTCAAACCCTATATGGCTGCTTTAAAATCATTGAAACTTTTAAATTAACTTTTTAATTTAGAGGAGAGAAGACTGGCCACACCCCGTTTCATGTGTCTGCTTAGGTAATTGTGGCAAAAATCCAGGTTGGTCTTAGAGCAGGTTAGGCTTGCTGCCTGACTGACCACTGACAGCACTGGTGTTTTATTATGTGCTCTATACAACTAAGATTCGGAAGATACTTCCACCCCCGGAAGGAAAGGAGGTTGGGTGTGGGTGGGTGCTACACAGGGCATACAAAAATTCACAAAGCAAACAGCACCTTGGGTTGCTCCAAAGGGCATTCTGCCCAGGAGGAAGTTGACATTAGCTTCATCAGCTCCCTGGAGCTTGAGGTTTAGGAAAGAAGCTGGATCACAGTTCCAAAGGACTAGACTGGGCAGAGGCACCTGGGACCTCCTGGCAGTGGCACTGTGGTCCAATCCTGATGTGCAGATCTTTCCTGGATAGCTGTTAATCCTGTCCACTGCCCTTCAATCAAGCATCATTAGCCTCATCTAGATAGTCTTTAGAGTAAAGAATGGCATTCAGTCCAGCTCTGTAGGATTGCCCAAATGTTCATCTTTGGAGACTCAACTTCACTCTGATCACATATCTTAGGTCCGGCGCTCTCGTCTGGAGGTCTTGTTTCAGTAAGTCTGGCATGTGAACCAGCTAAGTGTTGTGAACAGAATTCCCAAGTGATTCTCATTAGACAAGCTTGAGAAAGGCATTTGTTCCCCAAGTCCCAGAGTGCCTGAAATCTTAACATGTTAGTCCTAAGGCCCTACCTGCAGAGCTTCAGTCACCAGGCCTTCTGAGATCTATGAATCCTTTTAATTAGCAAGTCTTACACACCTCTGGTCCAGGCTGCTTGCTTATTAACATGCAAGTTCAGGCATGTCAGATCTTCCCCAGCAGGTGGCGCTGCAAACTCTCCCCTGAAGAGTCAAATTCCTTACATGTGATTTTGTACAACCATTTCAGTCACCCCAGATGATAGATCTGGGGTCAAATAACTCTTCCCATTAAGGAATTCTTCCCTGTGTCTGAGGATAGCTCTGCCCTTGAGTAAGGACACTCAGCATCTAGAATGATTACACACGGTCTCAGCACAGCGATGGAGGAATTGCAGATGGAATCAGAGGAAATGACCTTCAGTTCAGACTTCTGTCTCTTTAGGCTGATAATGCAGAATTGGTTTAAGAATAAAGAACACAGTTTGGTGATGTGTCTTAAGCTAGCAGTGACAGGTTAAAAACTGAACCATATGTCAGTCTGTTTTTAAACCCTCTCAGCTCTTTTTCCAGTGACGTGTCTGTTTCCCACCATGACGACCACGGACTAACCCTCTGAACCTGTAAGTAATCCTCCAGTTGAGTGGTTTCTTTTATAAGGGTGGGGTGCAGGAGTGCTTGTCTCTCTGTGTGTAGAGGCTAGAGGTCAACGACAGGTGTCTTCTGTTGCTTTCAACTTCACTTTTGTGAGACGGGGTTTTCACAGACTATGGAGCTCATTGGTTTGGGCTCTAGTTGGCTGGCCTAATTGGGGGCCTGTCTTTTCCCTACCCCCGGGGTGCTAAGGTTATAGATACACACCACTCTGTCTGTTTTTTACATGGGTGCTAAAGGTGTGAAGTCAGGTCCTCATGTTCACACAGTAAGTTCTTTACCCCACAGAGCTATCTTTATAGCCCCAGAACTGACTTTTCTTTTCAATGGTCTTTATTTGTTATCAGAGCAGGGCATGCCGTGGTGTACATGTGGAGGTCAAAGACAACTTTGTGGAGCTGGTTCTCTCTACCACCATCAGGCTCATATCCTTGGGCGGCAAGGACCTTTCCTCATTGAGCCATCTTGTCAGCCCCATCAGAACTAACTTGTTCTGATTGATTCTGTGTATTGTTTGTAATCTTTTCCATCATATTAATTTCTTTCCTGATACTTAGTCTTTCTTCCTTCCTTTCTTTCTCTCTCTCTCTTTCTTTCTTTCTTTTTGGTTTTTCGAGATGGTTTTTGGTGTAGCCCTGCCTGTCCTGGAACTCGCTCTGTAGACCAGGCTGGCCTTAAACTCACAGAGATCCGCCTGCCTCTGCCTCCTGAGTGCTGGGATTAAAGGTGTGCACCACCACTGCCTGGCCGATACTTAGTATTTCTTACTTACTTACTCTTACCTATTGAAGGGTAAGTAGATCCAATACCTACTCGAGCATATGGCTCTGGCAGACCTTGCCCCCATCCCCTCTGCCTTCCTTAAAACCATCAAGGTCTGTTCCCTTATTTGGACACTTTCCTATGCCAGATTCATTCCTGAGGATTAGTACCAAAGTCCAACAATCAAAAACCCCCTTTGGTTCACCTAATTAACATGCCTAATCAAAGTATCCCACTGAATCCTAACCCATTCTAACACAGACTTCCCCTTTTTTCTCCTCTTAAAAATGACACCTGCAAGGTCATGTGCCTCTGTTTTCTGCCTGAGTCAGAAAGCAGCTACTTTAACTTTTCTGCTTAATAAAGGATCTCTCTGTAAAAACAGGCGTTTGAATGTTGTGGTGGTTTGAAAGAAAATGGCTCCCAAAGGGAGTGGCACTATTAGAAGGTGTGGCCTTGTTGGAGGAAGTGTAGGGGTGGGCTTTGAGGTCTCTTTTTCTCAAGCTTCACTTAGTGTGATAGTCAGTCGACTTCCTGTTCCCTGCAAGATGTAGCACTCTCAGCTCCAGCAACACATCTGCCTGCATGCCACCATGCTCCCCGTCATGATGATAATGGACTAAACCTCTGAAACTGTAAGTGAGCGACCCCAATCAAATGTTTTCTTTATAAGAGTTGCCATGCTCATGGTGTCTCTTCATAGCAATAGAACCCTAAGACAGGTGGTTAGTTCCTAATCAGGGGTCTGGGAGGGAGCCCCCACTGTGTGGGAATCCCTTTCACCTACTGCTTTTAGGTTTGATGAGTTCTTGTTTTTCTAAAACCTTGAGTTCCATCAGTAGGTTGTTTATTTGAGGGTGCTCTGTTTTTCCCTCCAGTTCCAAAGGCTTCGTTTGTAAGTATACTTCAGGAAAGATGACCTGTCTTATTACCTCTGGTCAGTGAAGTGAAGAGCTATGTTCCAGCATCCACCTGGTTCTGTTGCTAAGGACCCTGCTTTGCCCACCTCTATTCACACTTCTATTCCAGTTGTGGGCATGAGACTTGTAGTCAATCAGTTCTCCCGGCTTAAACCTTAGGCACTCTGTACCAAATCATTGCCATGAATGATGTTCCTGCCAACTTGAATGCAGAGATCTGCTCCAGTGGTGCCTGCCTTAGAAACAGCTGGACTGGTGTCTCCAAGCATCCCTCAGCCTATCTTCTTCACCACACGGAGCCCTCTCAGACCATGGCTACAACTGGCCCTGAGTTTATGTACTCCACCAGCCCTGGAAGAAAAGGAGTCTTCCAGGTCAAAGTTTCATACCGCTTCAGAAGCTCTTCATTGGCCAGAAGGGACGTAATGGCCACTAGGTGGAGCCCTTTCTCCCAGAAGCACTTGATCTCACCCACCAGGCCGTGCTGTACATCAGCTGGCTGGATGGCTATGATGTCACCCTCCAGGTTGGCATGGTCCAGAAAGCTGGCAGGCTGGTGGGTGGCTACGATGCCCTGCTCTCTCTTATTTTTTGTTTGTTTGTTTTTTTGAGACAGGGTTTCTCTGTGTAGCCCTTGCTGTCCTGGAATTTGCTCTGAAGACCTGTAAGCTGGCCTCAAACTCAGAGATCCCCCTGCTTCTGCCTCTTGAGTACCAGGACTAAAGGCATGCATCACCATGATTTTTTAAATATAAATATATTGTCATAAACTTTCCTCTTAGAACTGCCTTAGCTATATCCCAAAAGTTCTGTTAAGTTATACTTTCATTTTCACTTGACTATAGAAAGTTTGTTTTGTTTATCCAATTTATTTCTTTATTATTTGTATGAGTGTGTGTGTGTGTGTGTGTGTGTGTGTGTGTGTGTGTGTGTGTGTGTGTGTGTGTGATATGTTTATGTTGGTGTGTGCTTCATGGTGCCTGTGGATCATCAGTCCTCTCCTTGTAGCTGAAGATGAACTTGAACTCCTGATCCTCCTCCTTCTACCTCCTAAAAGCTGGGATCATAGGTATGCACCACCACACCTGGAGTGATTTTACGACCTTACAGTGTTCTCCTGGTTTTCTTCAATGCAGTACTGGTCATTCAGGAGTGGATCATTTAGTCTTCAAGTATTTGTATGGTTCGTCTTACTACTGATTTCTAATTTTACTTCAATATGATCTGGTAGAAGAATTTATTTCATTTCTTTAATGCTGCACTCTATACAGCTCCAGAGTCTGACCTAAAGGGAGTGGTTAGGAAATTGAGAAAGGACAGTCACAGAAGAAAAGGACAGACACAAATACACAGAAAAGCTGGGACCAAGTGGTCTGGTCTCTCAGCTGAACAGGCCACAGCACCCTGGAAGCTCAGTGTGTTTACTGTTTACATCTGAACAGGACGGCAGAGTTACTGCACACAGCTGGACACGGAGGCAGTTTGGCTGATCTGAGCAGGCGCAGGCTCTGGAGGGGAGTAGGCTCTGGAGGGGAGCAGGCTCTGGAGGGGAGCAGTACGCTGTGCTTATTTAGTGGTGGAGAAAGCTATGGTGGACATTTTGTGCACAGACTATCAACATTCACTCTCCGGCCAGAGGAAGACTTTGTCATCCCTCTGAGCCTCACCCAGAGACATCTTTGCCACTCCCATGGGGATGAGGCATTGGTTCTTGACACGGCCATGTCCAAACCTACAGCACACATTCACTCAGGACTTAATCACTCAGGACTTCCTCCAATCCCCATACTTCTCTATTAGTTAAGAGTTATTTGTCAGAATGCTTGCCTTGTATGGGCAAGGCCCAGGAATAAATTCCTCTGCAACTGCCAACAATAGACTTTTTAAATTTATCAGAAGGACCTTCTAGTGTTCATCTCAGACTTTACCCACGTCTCCATGACTTCCTGCATTTCCCTTCAGTGACACTCTTCTCTGTCAATCATGTGCATCCCACTCTTTTCCCAACCACTCTTTTTTTTCAGGGCCGAAGACAGAACCCAGGACCCTGTGTGTGGTAGGAGCTCAGCCACAGCAGTCTACAGCCACTCTGTTTATCTTTTGTAATGTCATTGCACCCTAAGAGTGACAGTTTTAGCTAAGAATAAATACAAGTAAAAGTCTTGTCTCAGTGGGCCTCACGTGAATGTGATTACTACAGTGCAGCCTACCCAGAGGTAGACTGTATCCTGGTCCACACTGGGCACGCTGGGCATGTGGGCCATGTTTTATACAAGCTAAGTTTAGTTTTTATGTATTTAAAAAGTTGAAAACAAATATTTGGATTAAATTTTGCTACTTGGCCTACAGAACCCCAGATATTTAATTCCTGGCCCTTAAAAAAATTTCCATAGCCTGGTGTGATGATACCTGTAATCTCAGCACTGTAGAGGCTGAGGCAGGAGGGTCCTGTTTTAGACCAGTGTAGCTGAAGCTTTCTCCGGTCCTGCCCAGCCCCACAGACCCCGCAGCCACTTATAAAATAATCACTCAGAAGCTTATCTTAATTAAAACTGCTAGGCCATTAGCTCAGGCCTACCATTGACTAGCTCTTACACTTAAACTCAGCCCATTTCTGTTAATCTATATGTTGCCACATGTTCCGTGGCTTTACCTGTGTGCCATTACATGCTGCTCCCTGGACTGTGGGGTGGCATCTCCTGACTCAGCCTTCCTGTTCCCAGAATTCTCCTTGTCTGTTTACCCTGCCTAGACTTCCTGCCTGGCTACTGGCCAATCAGCGTTTTATTCAGCAACCAATCAGAGCAACACATTCACAGCATACAGAACATCCCACAGCAGACCAGCTGTGCTACATGATCTCAAAAAGCCAAAATATATTTTCTACTTCCTTCTGTAGACATCTGAATGCTTAGTTCAAAGATCTTTGTGTCCTGTGTCACCTTGATCCTCACTCCATGCCGGTCACTGTGATCTTTCCAATTTCAGTATGTGTGCTGCCAAAGCGAGCACCAGTCACTGTTTTCTTAAAAACTACTGTTAGACTTTCAGTCTTTTTCATGTTTCTGTATTCTTGGTGTAGTGTTTATTCATAGACTGTTAGGGGTTTGTGTCAACATTTTCATCTGATATGCACTGTATTATTATATTGTATATTCTGATTTAGAGTTGACTTAAGAGTTTGAGACTTACCATGTTGGTAGATATAGGTTATTTTTGTTGTACAACACCTTAGAAATAAACCAGACTTAATGCCTCTTTTGAGGAAAAAAAAAGAGAGAGAGAAGAGTTGCTTTGTGACTTAGAATGTGATCTATTTTAGAGAGGTTCTGTGAGATGCTGAGAAGAACATATATCCCACTTCTGTGGGATGGAATAGTCTGTATGTATCTGGTCCATTGAATCAATTGAATAGTTTAACTCTGAAGTTTCTTAGTTCATTTTTAGTTTGGTTGAGCCAACTAAAGATGAGAGTGGGGTAGTAAAGCAACCTATTATTGTTATATAAGAATTAATCTTTTATGTCCATTAGTTTTCATTTTATGAAATGGAGAGCCCCAACAGTAGATGCATGTATGTTTATAATTTCTCCATATTCTTTTTTAAAGATTTATTTATTTATTATGTATATAGTGTATACTTACATGTGTCCCTGCAGGCCAGAAGAGGGCACCAGGTCTCATTATAGGTAATTGTGAGCCACCCTGTGGTCACTGGGAATTGAACTCAGGACCTCTGGGAGAGCAGTCAGTGCTCTTAACCCCTGAGCCATCTCTCCAGTCCCTGTTCCACATTCTTAATGGATTGTTCTCTTTACATAGTGCCCTTAAAAAAAAACACCTCTTCTGACTACTTTTGATTTAAAATTGACTCCATTCAATATTGGAACAGCTACTTACACAAGCCTGTTTTAGCTTCCATTGCATGATAACCTGACTTTATCTTTGACTTGTGGTCTGTGGATGGCTTTACCACTGAGGTGTGCTTTCTTGGAGACAACAGGCAATTGTCCCTAATTTGTAAATTCCTGTCAGCCAATCTGTGTCTTTGTTTGTGAGTGAAGCTATTTAGAGTTGATGCTATTATTGAGAGATGTTACTGTTTCCTGTCATTTTGTTGGTTATTTTTCTAGTTGGTTGTTTGGGTTCTCATTCCCTGCAATTAGGAGTAACTTTTTAGTGGCTTTAGTATTGGACATGATGGATTCGTTCTAATTGGCAGTTCATCTGATGAAGCGTGTTCTTTCCCAAGCTCCTGTGGTGGAGAATCACAGTCTTCCTCTTCTGTGTATGCGATTCCTTTCAGTGTCTTCTGCAATGCTGACTCTGACTCGGTTTGTGCTTGTCCTGAAATGTCCTATGTCTCTGACAGTTTTAAAAGATAACTGCCATCTGGGCAGTGGTGGCACATGCCTTTAGTCCTAGCACTCTGAGGCAGAGGCAGGTGGATATCTGAGTTCGAGGCCAGCTTGGTCTACAGAGAGAGTTCCAAGACAGCCAGGGCTACACAGTGAAACACTATCTCAAAAAACCAAAGAAAAAAACAACCAAACAAACAAAAAAAACAAAAACAAAAACAAAAAACAAAGAAAGCTAACTTGGCCTTGGTTGGGTTGAATTGCATCTTCTCGTGCCTTCTTGGCTTTAGAGTTTCTGGTAAGAGATCTGGTATTTTCCTGATGTGTTCCCCTTTCTGAGTGAGTTGGTGTTTTCCCTTACAGTTTTAAATATTGTTTCATTTCTTTGTATTTTGACATCATGGCTATAATATGCCATGGAGAGGTTCTTCTCAGCTTTAGTGCATTGAAGTTGTAAATGCCTCCTGTGCTTGGATATTTGTCTATTCAATGAATGATACCAGAAGAGTCCCCAAATCTAGAGAAGGAGACAGACATTCAAATACATAGGCATTTAAAACCTTAAATATTTGGAGACCTCCATATTAAGCATCCTTCTCTTGAGGGCTCAATCTCAGTGCATTTCAAAGAGGAGAAAGCAAGCTGCAGTTGATGTTGAAGAAACTCAAAGTAATAAAACTGATGTTATAAATGATTTACTAATAGGTCTGCTCAGGAGACATTAAGTCACACTAGTGGAATTTAGGTACAAGAGTACTTCCTCCAAAATATCCCAAAGATAAGTAATATGCTAACCAGGTCTGTTAGAGATAAGCCAAATTTAGGATGCTAAGATGTAAATATTTGTTCACCAGGATTTGTCAGCCATTAGGCCCCATTCCCATGACAAAGTAGACAGAAGTGAGTTACCACCGGCCATCTGGCCCTGATTCCCACCCGACATATCTCTAACTGTGCAGCTCAGGGAGGGAGACAGCATGGGGTCACAATCATCACTGAGTCCTGGTCTGCCATTAAGTCCCCTGTGCTCTTATCAGGAGAAACATAATTCTGCCAGGTGGGCAGGATGACCCTGGGTAACAACTTTCCGGAGAAGAACGACACTGGTGTACTTGAAACAGCTCTGGCAATGTGGAATATCTTTGCTGTGTAAATCTCCTGTCTGTCTGAGTTGCCAGACTCCCTGTCTCCTGTCCCTGTTTAAAATGCTCGAAGTGTAACTTGGGCCCAGGACCCCAAAGAGATTTAAGGATAGCAGTGTATATATAATCCATAAGCCTAAGGTATACATAAGTTCATAAAATCTTCTGTTGAACGCTGGCTCTTCCTTGGGCATTAGCCAAGAGCTGGGGAAACATTATGAAAGAGTCCTTCCTTCATCTCTAATATGTGAAGTGTTTCCTCACCAGAAAGGCATATAATTTCTACACCATGACAGCAACAA